TTTATTTTCATTTAGCGAAACATTTTCCTTAATTTAAACTTTTATTACACTCCACGAAAATTTACTGCAGCATTAGTTGCAAAAAAAATTTTCAATTAACGAAGCCCATAAGGAATCTGATCTTTTTAAATAAATTTTACATCGAAAAGGAAAATAGTTGGATAGCTAAAATAAAACTGTCCCGAAAATAATCTTTATTTATTTATTTTTACTTTTTTTTCTTTTGATAATCCATTTAGAAACAAGAAGCATTTATATTTTAATTAATACATCAGCATTGAAAACCTTGTAGCTTAATCCTTTATCGGATCATTTTTCTAGTAATTTCAAGTCAAAATATTTTTACTATTGAAGGTAGGTAGGTAGTACTTCATTTGCGTCGCACTAGAACTGCACAATGGGTTATGGGCGACGGTCTGGGAAACATCCCGGAGGATGATCCGAATACATACCATAGCAATTTTGATACTCTGCAGAGGGGATGACCTACGCGCGAAGTTAAGCAGATACCTAAGAACCGATACCACGCAACCTCTGTCCCTACGCAAGCTGATCAAAGTGGTGACTCACCCACTTACTGATCGCATCCAGTGATGCTTGACTTCAGTGTTATACTGGGAATCCTGTATTTCAGTATTGAAACTGACCAAACTACCTAAAATTATTCGCTCTTGCCCTTCCACCAAACATTATGAAGCTTAGATTTGAAACCCATCGAAAACCTCGCTATGTCCTTGTAACTTTCATTCTGTAATTTGTACTATGTGCTCTTCAATTCGACTAGAACTTATAAGCCACCGATTGGTCTCACCGTTCCAACAAACGCTCTGAGGCGTTGACGTAGTGGATTCGAATTCCGCCGTGACGATGGATCTCTGCAATGTCCATTTCAAAATTGCATTATCTCGTATTCAACTTAATTAGGGCTCATAAGCTATACTTAGTAATGAGCACACTACCCTGCTTATGCATGTATTATAATAAATAAAAATGGTAAATAAATGATGGGTAGATACTTGGGGACTCCGTGGCTGAGCGGTATCACCTGGCAAATGCTGTGAAAATCGTAGAGATAGCGGGTTCGAATCTCGCTGTTATCCTGGATGTATCTTCGTGCTATCCTTCTCTGTATTGTGCTATTTCTCCTTCTAGTGACAAAGGTTTATAAGCCTAAATTTAGCACAAAAGCCTGCAAATGTATGTAATTACAATAACCAATAGTCCCGCAGTGGACTGAACATTAAGACACGGTTCCCAGCAGATCACCGAAGTCAAGCATCACTGGCTGCTGTCAGTGTGTGGGTGGGTGACCACTTGGATCAGTCTGCGCAGGGACCGATGGTGTGCGGTATTGGTCCTCGTTAAACTGTTCTACCGTAAAGTGCTCGACTTCGCGTGCAGGTCGTCGGGCTACCAAAGCAGGGGTGCCATCCCCTCTTCGGAGGATCAAAATTGTGATGGCATGTCTTCGGATCATCCTCAGGGATGTTTCCCAGACAGTCGCCAATAGCCCATTGTGCAGCTCTAGTGCGACGCAAATGAACTACAACAACAACCAATAAATAAATAGGTAGGTAATTTATTTACGTCGCACTTGTGCTGCACAATGGGCTGAGGATGATACAAAGACATACTATCACAATTTTTATCCTCAGTAGAAGGCATCTCATTTGTGAGGACACTTCTTCAATTTAGGCATATATCTGAAGGGTGAAATTTTCTCCAGATACCTGTACCCATGATACTGCTCAGCAACCGACCACAAGATTTTATGATTCCACAGATGTTACGAGCACGTATATCACATGTACTCGGTGGGTGTAGTGGAGTCGAGGATCAAACCCCGTTCCTTCCGAACCGGAATCCAATTCTTTAACCACTAGGTTAAAACAGACCGGTAAATAAATGAATGGACAGAATGGCGGAGATTCTAACATGCTGTACAATGATAAGTAGTAGTAGTAGTTCTTCTTTTACGTCACACTAGAGCTGCACAATGGGCTATGTGCGACGTTCTGAGAAACATCCCTGAGGATGATATAAAGACATACCATCACAATTTTTATTCTCAGCAGGAGGGAGGGCTCCCCCACTTTGGTAACTTGCACGTGAATTTCTCACCTTACAGTGAAATAGTTAAATAAGGACTGATACCGTACACCACTGGTCCCTTCACATCGTGATCAAAGTAATTATCCACGCGCTCACTGACTGCTGCCAGTGATGCTTAATTTCAGTGTTCTACTGGGAACCGTGTCTTACGATCAGTCCTTGTCCCGCAGTGGACTGATCGTTAAGACACGGTTCCCAGCAGATCACCGAAGTCAAGCATCACTGGCTGCGGTCAGTGTGCGGGTGGGTGACCACTTGGATCAGTTTGCGTAGGGACCGAGGGTGTGCGGTATTGGTCCTCGTTAAACTGTGCTACCGTAAAGTACTCGACTTCGCGCGCAGGTCGTTGGGCTATCGAAGCGGAGGTGCCATCCCCTCCACAGAGGATCAAAATTGCGATGGCATGTCTTCGGATCATCCTCCGGGATGTTTCCCAGACCGTCGCCAATAGCCCATTGTGCAGCTCTAGTGCGACGTAAATTAACAACAACAACAACAACTACGATCAGTCCTTGGTGTGGCCAAAGATAAGAAAGGTTGCTGGTTCGTAGCCAAAATCACAGGAAAACTCAAGCACTTTTAAACAAATGGCATACAAGTACTTAAAATAAGAATTAATTAGCAATTTTAATAATTCGGGTAGGTAGGCACTTTATTAACGTGGCACTAGATCTGAAAATGGGCTATTGGCGACGATCATGGAAGCATCCCTGAGGATGATCTGAGGGCATGCCATCACAATTTTGACCCTCTGCGGAGGGGACGGCTCCCCTGCTTTGGTATCCCGACGACCTGCGTGCGAGCTCGAGCATTTTATGGCAGAACAGTTTAACGAGGACCGATACCGTGCACCCTCGGTCCCTACACTGGCCGATCAAAGTGGTCACCCACCGGCACACTGACCGCAACCAGTGTTGCTTGACTTCGGTGTTCTACTAGGAACAGCGTCCTTACGATCAGTCGACTACGGGACTTAATAATTCGGATTTAGGCTAGGATTGCTGAAAAAGTTTGAACATTAACTAGGAACTGAAATTACTAAAGAAATACAGCAAGTAAAAAGCAAAATTTATATATTAAATATGAAATCTGCTAGATATTATATATGAAATATTCGTCGTAGCAATTTTCAAAGTTTCCTCTAAAAGCAGATCTATTACATGCGTTCTTGCTTTAGAGTTTGTATTTATAACGTTAAGTGTCATTTTCGTCTTAATTTCGTCAATCTACTATTTCATAAATTTTTTTATAAGCCTCAAAGAATTTCAAGCTTCTAGTGACCAGATATTACAGTATTTTTGTAGCCTAACTTAGTAGCCCAACGTGATACAATAAAAACCCATAATTTAATGCCTTGCATTCTATGTTGCGCATTAAATATAATCATTTCTGTAATAATGTGCACTAAATCTGGTTTTAGATTTGATGTAATTATAAAAGATGTTCCCTAATTTAAATGTTTAAAATATTCCATAAATAAAGTTTTTCCAGAATAATTCTTTATCTAATTCTAAAGTATCAGTTGAGAAAACCATCGAATTCGATAGTGAAAATTCTAAGTCAATAAAAGAATAAAATGTAAAAACTTCCACGATTTTTTTTTCCATGGAACAAATAAGATCATAAGAGCAAACTTCTCGTCAATAAACTTTCATTTCAAAGCATTTTTAGATTAAAGTACAAATTGTAAATTCGATATTTCACTATTAAATTGTCGCTTGTGGCTTGATTTAATTTCCAGCAAAAATTATAGCATTCTGTACATGTAAATTAGAAGATTTAATAACTTCACTCTTTCTTAGGAACAGTGTGTTTAAGGCAAGTCTACCGCAGTATGTAATGCAATCCTCAAAAAATCTAACTTTAAAACTTAATTAACTTTTAACTTTTAAATTTAACTTTTTAACTTCTAAACAGACTTATTATCTCAGAAAAAAAATAGCAAAATTAATGCAAATTCTAAGATATTTTCAAAGTTCCTCTTATGATTTGAAAATTGCTTCAATGGAAATAAGATTTCCTTCCAAAGGAAAGTCCAAGGATGATTTTTTATATTTTAAAATTATGTTTAGAATTATTTTTTAAAGTACCGAACCACGTAGCGAAGTTTTTAAACTAAATAAAATTAAAAATTCATACACGTTAATTGCACGCTCAAGATTTCATCCAGTTGTGTAGAACTCTCCACAAGTTTGAATTGCTGGTGCTATTAAATAGATTTTTTTTTCTTTTGTACAGTTAACATGATTTAACATCACCATTGCTACAAATACAATGAAATTACTAAAGCTTTCATTTTACAAGTTTGCATCGAAACACATAATTTTTATTAAACAGAGCTGTCTGATTGTCTTGAAACTAATATTCGAAACATTCTGATATATAAAGTAAAAGAAAAATCCATTTATTTTGACAATACTTACTTAATTGGTGACACTATTCTGCTTAACCAATAAAAATCGACCAATATGTAAAGTTTTCTTCGCTATAAATAATTTCGTTAAGATATTTAAGAAGAGTAACGTTAAAATAGTTAAAATGAGGAACTAGAAACAGAACATCAAACAGAAGAATTAGTTTTCTTTAACATTGTTACAGTAAAACTAAAGCAAATTCTTTTAAATTTAAATTTAATGCTAAATCTTTAACATGCATAGTTTATATAATTTAGCACCACTGAAGAAATAACTAAGTTCAAATTTTTATTTTTAAACAAATTTTAATTAAAAACGTGCTGATGTGTTTTAACACCATTAGCTAAACCAGTTACACATTTGTCTTGTAATTATAAAAAGTTAAGAATTAAAACTTACTACCTAAAAAGATACTCCAGTTATTTATAGTTAAAAAACTTACTTAAATTCATATAGAGAAATAATTAAACAATGTTTAGTATACTAGTTTATTAAGACAAATAAAATTACACATTTACAATTAATTATAATAGACACTCAATTTCACAAAATCCAATTTTGTTTACTAATAAAACACATTAAACATTTAGAGAAAACAGTGCAGTTTGTTTAGTCAAGGACTTAAAATATGATCAATAATTTCGCATATATTACCTTTTTAAAATTAGCTTTTGAAGCCACTCCTAAAAAAGCAACTTACGTCGACGATTTTAAAGTCAAATTTTGTAAGTTGCCAGTTAAAAAGTCAATTTCAAAACAGAATCAACTTTAAAAATCACAGTATTCTCGACCAAGACAATGTTCACAAGAATGTCTTTAGATATATTCCAGAGTTCAATTAAGTTTGACCCTTTTTTCAAAGTTTTTAATCAACTTAGTCGAAGAAATAATCTTTAAGTACATAAGAGACTAAGTTTGGCCCTCCTTCAAAGTTTTTTCAGCTTGTATAAACTCCGCATAATCCAAATAGCCATCTTGGTTCTTATCTATGGCTGACACTAAAAGAGGATCGATGGCTGTTTGCAACTCCAGGTCCGAGTACGCTGCATTTTCATGTTTATCTGAAGTTGGATCAGTTGCATGGTAGTGAGTAAATGCCTGAAGTATCTCTAAGCCATCCAGTTTCTTGTTGCCATCAATATCGTGAGCATTGAAGTAGTGGAATCTTAGTTCCTCGTCCTTTAGCTCGTCAGCGTCCATGCCATCAAGGTGCTGTTTCAAATGGTCCCGATCTTGCACATTTTGAAAATTCTGCGGACCATGATTATGGCAGGAGATTAAAAAGAACAGCGAAAAGAGGACGATGATTTCTAAAGCAAAGACAGACATCTTGGATAGTATGGTAACTAAACGCAATAGCTCTAGTCTCGAGAGAAATGAGAAAGAAGTGTTGAGTAGATGGCTTTTATCGACTTTTCTCGATTGCGCACATCGTTTCGCATTTCACTCAGCGCGCATGCTCTCATTTTCGGTTCTGAAATTAAATTTCAGCAATTCCGCGTTTCGTGATTGTAATTTGAAGATTCGAGAGTCAGCCTTTTCTCTTTTAATATATTTAAATGCTTTAATGAGGGATTCTTTTAGTAAAATTTTAAATTCTTTCCTTATGTATTTTTAACAAAATAATAAAGAAAAATTTAATGCGCTGATTTAAATATTAATGTAAATGACAATATATTGTTAAAAAATTAAATTTACTAGTTTAAAAAGAGATTTTTTTAAGTTCTCTTGCGCAATCGAAGACTACGGTGATTATTATTAGTAGAAGTTCTACTCTTTCACTATATTTATGTTTAATAGTACAACATCAATAAAATTTAATTGCTATCTTAAACAATAATTAAAATGATATTTTGTTTTTAAAAAAATTTTATTTAAAAATGTATTGGACATTTATAAGACCTGTGAAAAAACCTTTTGAATTATTAAGTACGATCAAATTTTTGAAAGGAAATATATATAAAAAGAAATTATTTTAAAATATACGTAAATATAATTTATTTCACGAAAAGGTATTAAGATGAACCTTCTGTTCATCTTAATACCTTTTCGTGACAATCGTATATTTCGTATATTCTGACAATCTGACAATCGTATATTTTCTTATAAAAAAAATAGAGCAAAATTAATACTAAAATAAATAATCTCTATTTTCCCAAAAGAATAAAATCACCATTAAATAAAACATACTTGCATTTTAATCTTATGATAGCTGGATTTTATCTTTAACCTTATTTTGCGCTGTAAGCTTAAGTAGATTTAATAAAATTTTCGTCTTAATTATGCGATGCTTATTCATATAATCGTGATTCTTATACTGGTGTTTATTTAAAGCACCAAAAACTGCTGTATGTATTTAAAATAATTTTCTATTAGTCTAATTACATTGCTTTCTACGCTACAGTTGTACTTATTAGAATCTAGTTACAGCTAGTGTCATATAATTAGAGCCCTTAAATCAAAATTTGAATTTTAGAGACTAGTATTTTTGTTTTGATTTCATTTGTTGTTGTTGTTGTTAATTTACGTCGCACTAGAGCTGCACAATGGGCTATTGGCGACGGTCTGGGAAACATCCCGGAAGATGATCCGAAGACATGCCATCACAATTTTGATTCTCTGCGGAGGGGATGGCACCCCCGCTTCGGAAGCCCGACGACCTGCGCGCGAAGTCGAGCACTTTACGGTAGCACAGTTTAACGAGGACCAATACCGCACACCCTCGGTCCCTACGCAGACTGATCCAAGTGGTCACCCACCCACACACTGACCGTAGCCAGTGATGCTTGACTTCGGTGTTGTGCTGGGAACCGTGTCTTAACTATCAGTCCATTGCGGGACTTTGATTTCATTTAAGTAAACAATTGAACCTTTTTCTAGGAAGAGTTAGATTTTTCTCCCTAAGTTTTTTGACACCTAAATATATTTCTCAAACGAACAATGGATAATGGACCGAGGGTGTGTGGTATTGGTCCTCGTCAAACTGTTTTGCTGTAAAGTGCTCGACTTTGTCATCGGGCTACTGCCATTTGTAGAGGATCAAATTTGTAATGGTCTTCGGATCATCTTCAGGGAAACTTCCCAGACCATCATCTATAGCCTGTTTTGCAGCTCTAATGTGACTTAAATAAAATTACAACTACATCTTATAATAATGATTTATTAAAATGAATGTTCCGGTATCCGTTTCGCTTGCTATATATTGCATTTTCGTCAAAAGCTTTGTAGATATAGAAGGTAGCAGGTTCGATTTCTTCCAAAACTCTATGAGTTTCTACATTTTTCACCTTTCTGCTGCCTTTGTCATTTATGCTATCAATATCGTTTGTCTCTTGTGCTCAAAAGATTTAAATTCTACCATTCAGGCGTTAAGATTCGTGTATTTAATATGGAATGCAGTGTGATATATTATTAAAATTTTATATATTTTTAAGCATATATCTACATCTGCAGACTTATGTGATCAATGCATTAACTGTTTTCAAACTCACCTCTAAATTAAAAGTAGATCGCACATAGTTGTTGCTGTTGTTGTAATTCATTTACGTCGGACTAGAACAGTAGATGGCACATACATACTAATAAGAAAAAAGTGAATGAAAGACAAGTGTTATTTTAAAGAATCGAACCCACTACCTTCATAGTTCTACCTAGAACGCAGTGGTTCTATCTAGAAATACCTAGAAAACAAAGACATTCAGAGAATGGAGTGGTCAACTAGATCTACAAACCTGAATCTCATAGATCATGCCTGGCATGCTCTTGGTAGAGCATCTGCAGATCGCTACTCCCTAAATCGCTAAAGTAGCCTTAATGAGATGAGATTCATTGCCTCAAGACTTTATCAACCTCGTAAACAACGTAAAAATTTGTAGTGACGCCTGCATTGCCATCAAAAATGGTCGTACCTCATATTAATCTCTTCACAAGTCTTCAATGATGCAGTTGCAATGATCAATCAATGATTCAGCTGCAATGCCTCATTAATGCCTCAAAATGACCACTTTGCTGCATTATTTTTGGACTGTTTAACTGGGATTCCCATTAACTAATATTGAGTTTGTATCGTTAACATTCTGCTATCAACGTTTTTGTCATAGCTTGATGTATATTCGTATAAAATCTTATTCGATTTGATTCACTATATCTTGAGTTACTCTCAAAATTATATTTAGTCCCCAGCAATTGTCCACGAGTGTAATTTGTTACATTCTTTTAGAGATACGTGTGTCATTCCAGCTGGAGTCACCCAGTCAGTGTAACGAGGAAAGTCTTTGCTTACCTCCGCTTGGGCTAAGGTCTGATCCTGAGTATGAGATTGAACGTTCTCCCGTATTATCTTAGTGTTTGTTGTTGTAGTTCATTTACGTCGCACTAGAGCTGCACAATGGGCTTTTGGCGATGGTCTGGGAAACATCCCTGAGAATGATCCGAAGACATGCCATCACAATTTTGATCCTCTGCAGAGGGATGGCACCCCCGCTTTGGTAGCCCGACGACCTGCACGCGAAGTCGAACACTTTACAGTAGAACAGTTTAACGAGGACCAGTACCGCACACCCTCAGTCCCTACGCAGACTGATCCAAGTGATCAACCATCCGCACACTGACCTCAGCCAGTGGGGCTTGGCTTTGGTGATCTGCTGGGACCCGTGTCTTGACTAAGATGTCACTGCGGGACATCTTAGTGTTTCATAATCCATTCTAATGCAATGTCTCTGGTAGTATCAAAATCGGAAAAGTAAACGTATGACGATTGGGAGGTTCGGGAGCGTGAAATGGAAGCCAGGTGATCACTATCCCTATCCGCCCCCAATCTAAATTAAGATAAGTATAGTGCGTGTACACACAGTATTGTCTTTGGGTCATCATTAAGGATGAATCCCAGACTATCACCAATAACTTATCAGTGTAGCTCGAGTGCGATGTTAGCAACCAAACGAATAGTTTGAGCATTAAAGCTTTGAAGGAAATGCAGCCCTCGCTTAACTTTGCTATGACCCAGGTTCAAGTCCCGATGACGGCTGGTTCGTATTCTCTTCTCACTACATTGCTGTGTCTAAATGTCTCCCGTGGGAGAGGGATCATGTGTTAGAGCTAACCATGTTGACTTTTTCGAAATCTTTTTTTCTTCCGTAACACAAATAGGTATAAGTAAGAATTCAAAATGAAGAAGAGTTTGTCCCAATACTTGAACCATGAGTTCTTTAGCATTCTAGGTCTGGTTCAAATTACAAGGCTATGAGTTTAAATATTAAAAGCTCCATATCCTATATGCATATATTAAAAGCCCCACATCAGGTTTTCAACGCTTGTCATAAAATGAAATTTCACTATTTAATAAATAAATATTATGAAGTCCCACAGTGGACTGATCGTTAAGACACGGTTCCCAGCAGATCACCGAAGTCAAGCATCAATGGCTGCGGTCTGTGTGTGGGTGGGTGACCACTTGGATCAGTCTGCATAGGGACCGAGGGTGTGCGGTATTGGTCCTCGTTAAACTGTTCTACCGTAAAGTGCTCGACTTCGCGTGCAGGTCGTCGGGCTACCGAAGCGGGGGTGCCATCCCCTCTGCGGAGGATCAAAATTGTGATGGCATGTCTTCGGATCATCCTCAGGGATGTTTCCCAGACCGTCGCCAATAGCCCATTGTGCCGCTCTAGTGCGACGTAAATGAACAAATCAAATATTATGAATTTGTTTTTTATCTTTATCTTGCATCAAAACACTATGCTTGACGGAATTAAATTGAGAATGCCTAGGTTTGACCTTGGCTTTCGTGCTGACGAAGATAAGGTTTTGTTTTTAAAAAAATATTTATTCATTCTAGTTTGAAAGAATTTTCACATAATTAATGCGTGAACAAAGCTACTTGATGATATTTATTGACTATTCATGTATTAACTATTCATATATTGAGGTTGATTTTAAAAAAAACATGCCGTCATACTTTTGATCCTCTGCAGAGGGAATAGGAAAAAAAGGGTGACCTATGCGTGAGTTCAGGCACTTTACAGTAAAACAATTTAACGAGACCGATATCGTGCACTCTCAGTTCCTTCGCAGGTTGATCAAAGTGGTCACCCACACGCTCACTCGACCACTACCAGTAAAGCTTTACTTCAGTGATCTATTGGGAATCCCGTCTAGCGATCAGTCCACTGTTAAACCTTGTCAAGTTAAAGATATGGTAGCACAACTCAGAGAAAGACAGCACAAAATTATATCTAGTGTTACGGTGGGATAAGAACACTCTACCTCCTCTCTACAGAACATTTGGCGGAACGGCGATATCATTCGTACAAGTTGGTCCTGGGACAAAGGAAATTTCTGGAAAACCTCTGTGCTTACTAGGAAAACCATATGATTATTTATTTGTACCTAAATAAAATCAAAATATTGAAT